GGCCGAGCTGCACTGAGCTGGGAGGTGATGGGGTGGAGGACCCTAGTGCCAGCAGGCGAGACACAGGGTTAACAACCTTGCTCTGCAGAAACTCGAGGTACGCCTGTGGGGCCACAAGCAGGAGGAACTAGCGCTACCACTGACTGGACCGAAACTGAGCTGGGAGTCTTTCAGCTTTTTGCTAAAAAACTGGTCTTAGGGTCCCGTGACCAAAACGGCTACAATCAGCAGCCTCTGGTGCAAACCAACAAGTCTGCGGGATTAGGGGCTGACCCGTGATTTATTTTGCCAAAGCTACAGAACAGAGCTTCGAGTTCTTAGGAACCAATCAGCAATTCTGCTCCGCACCATTTGCAAGGCAACTTACCTTCATTTGCTGTCTTTTCTGCTTCAGTACTGACCAACAGCTTGAAGCCACAGCCTAGGTGTAAAAAAAAAAAAAAAAAAAAAAAGCCCAAACCCCTGTATGACTTCGCTATAAGAGAAATTATTTTTCATCTCAAAAGAAGCAATCTGCAGAACACCGTAGTTCTGTATTTTGGGGATTTGTATTTTCTTCAATTTCACTCTTGTGATGACACAAAGTTTAAAACCCCATAAAATATCAGCTGATACAAACAACTAATTTCATACGTAGTTCGTATTTGTTATTTTCAGGTCTGGCTCTGAAACACTTTTAGTTTAATTCCAACACGATTTTGCATCCCTGACCCTCTTCAGAGTTGCCACGGTCCAACACTCACTGGGTTTAACCGAGGCCAATCTCTCATACAGGAAGCCTGCGCTCGGACTTAAGTGACTATTTCAGACGTTAAGTACCATGCAAACACATCGAAATGTCCTTTTTCATTTTAGCAAAAACATTCTTGCAATAGCTTCAGATTCAGCTCAGGAGTTTTGTCCAAATATGGGCCTGTGCAATGCACCACACTGGTACCAGTACTCGGCTCTCTCCCCTCCGAGCTGGTAACCACCCTCCTCGGTACTGCAAGGTAACGCACTGCTCACTGAACACAACGGTATCGCGTGACTGCAAACACAGACGTGCACACGTCACCCTTTTCCCCCTCCAGGGAGAGGACTTCCATGGGAAGCCCGAAATAGAAGGAGAACTGGCCGTTGACAGCTGCGAAGGGGTGAGGAGCCAGCCGCAGCTCCACCCCGCGGGGGGCAGCCCAGCCCGGCCGTGACAGAGCGCTGGGACCTCTCTGACACACGGACGGGCGCAGCTGGCAGCGCGCCCAGGGCACCGACACGGGAGCGCCCGCACTGCGGCGATGCGCCCCGTCTGCGCGCAGCTTTGCGCCCTACGGCCAGACCGCTCGCACATGAGCCAAGAGCTGTGCCTGCCAGCTACGACGGGGCCGACAGAAGCTGCCCTTCCAAACCTCTGCTTCCCCACAGAACACGCATCTTTGCGGGACAAGTTAAAGGGTTTTCTCCAATACGTGCACTCGTTCCATATATTTTGCGCCCAGACTTGTACCTTTTAAACTGCTCTGATGAAAAGCCTGACAATACAATCTCTATTTTTTCTGAGGAATATTCCGGGTACCTACCCAGTTATAACGGCAGTTCAATCAGACTTTACAGTGAAGGACAGTGTAGTTTCTTTGCTTTGAAATTAATGCTATTATCAGGACAATATTCACAGTCTTTATCCTGCAGTTGCTGGATTTATTCTCGTTTTCACATTTGCTCTCAGGATACAAAGCACAGGTCGCCAGAAGAACACTTTCGGCATATGCAGAAATTCTACAACTGAACGCTCACACCGATGTCACACCCTCCACTTACTGTGACACACCGCAGAACAACCATTATGAAAATGACACAGAAATACTCACTGTTTCTTTAAAAGACGAATTTAGCCAGCGGTTATTCACTACATTCTGTATAGATATCGGCGGATTTTCTAAATCTTCAAACGAATCCATTAATATGAAGTCCAGGACAACATCGTAAAAATTCAGGTTTTTCACCTGTATTAAACCAGAACAAAGATTTATGTAACCCAGTTCCTCTTTCAGCAGCAGAATTCAGCACACACCATACTCTAACTCTGTATGAACATGCAGATTTACAGTTGGTTTTGACAAACATTGAAGATCCTTTGTCAGTAGCGAAGGAAAGTTAAAAAATTATTACGTGCTTCCCGGTACTGAACTGCAGCGGCGGATGCCATTTCTCTAAACCAGCAACGTAAACAAAAAAGAACTGCCTTTCCCACAACTCTGAACTGTAAAAACTTATTTTTAGATGCTAGGGTTTGCATAATAAGGGTGAAAGCACTTCTCAGAAATTCAGACTCACTCCTCTAGCAGCCAGTTCCATTTCAGTATTATCCCAGTGATCTGTTTGTTCCAAAAAATATATCATTTCGTCAAAGACATCTTCAAATTTCTTTGGATTCTGTAAAGTAACAGCAAGGAGTATCAAGCAAACTTCACAAGAGAGATGGTTTACTTAGACTGGAAAGTGAACGCTGGTCGAAGTTTCATTAACAATAAAACATGAGTTAGAAAAGGCTTTTACCTTCCGTGCTCTCACAATTAAAGCAGACAAAATTTTTCTTCCACTTTCAGCCAGAAATATTCTGTTTGCTGTTTCTGAAAGAATTACCTGGAAAAGGTTTCAGAAAATACAGACATATTCACTCACAGGTTGTACGAAGTGACCTTCAACACGTCAGTCAAATTTAATATAATTATAACCGCTAGTGTAGCAGGCACGTCCCTAGCCAGCCTTAGGCGCTACGGTTCCAAAGGTAACCACAAAACTCGGACTCGTCTGCAAGTGTGTCCCATTTCAGAATTACAGGAATGTAATAGCAACAAGAAAATACTTCATTACAGAGGATGGTACTGAAGTGCTCACACAGGTAGTGCGCCGAGAGCTTCAGTGCCACCCAACGGGACAGACAGATCACTCCCCTTACTATTCACCTGAAAAGCTTGTCGAATGCAATGGAGCTTGGCAAGGAAGTCACTGTCTCCCAGACATTCAAACATTTCAGTCCTATATAAAACAGAAAAGTTTTCACAGGCCATTTAAAATAGAAGCATGAGAAAATCCAACAAAGTCTAATTCCTAGGAAAAAATACCTCATGCAAGTAACTTCTAGAAAATGAGTTCTAAATAGAATATTTAACTTTAATTCTCACTTTTCTCAGAAATAATTAGGTAGACATCAATACCTTAACACCCGTGAATAAATTTTGCCTTCTTCTGCCAAGTGCATAGCTTCTTCATACAACGGGCAACGGCAAAGGGAATCCAGACCATACGTATTGCGAATCTCTCTGTGCTCTGTAAGCTGAAAAAAAACAATTTTGAAGTTCATTAAAGAACTTGCTAACACCCTTTTTGGAAAGGGAAAACAAAGTAAAGTAGTTTTCCTGATGTTCTATTGAAAACTGAATCCTTTCCTGCACCTGCTTAAACCAAAGGGGCAACACTCAAGCGGTAACACCAGGGAAACGCCACAGCATTAACAAGATTGTCACTTCACAGCTCTTATAGCCCAAAAGCTACGGTTTCAGGTTTCTAAAGTTTAATTAATACAACGGAGGCAGATCAGTTTTGTTTTTAATTTGCCTAGTTAAACCTAATGGGTCTCAAAGCTGCTAAAAAACATGGCTGTGAGGACACAAAGGATCGCATCACACCAATCCTTACGAAGCTGGGAGCAGCAGCATCCTCCCACCCGTTTCTGCTTCGCTGGAGAGTGTCTGCTAGTTACCAGGGCCCACTGCAGGGAGCACGGGCACCCAGCATGTCCCTACAGGCTCCCAAAAAGGTTTTCATGGTGAGCAGTTTTAATCCTGTGGTTATCACATAAATTAACGTGAACTCCTAGACATTTTTAGAGCAAGAAAAACAAAATTAAGAAATCAAAGCACATAAGTAATACAGAGAACTCCTGCTTACAGGATGTTGTATTTAATCCACAAAACAGTGTGGACTCGAGCGACGAGACGATAGCCAGGGAATAAGTGAAGGAATGAAAGTTTTAACGTCAACAAGCTGTTATACCTAAATGAGTAATGTACGCTTTCAGAATTCATCTACCTTTTAAAATGGAAATACTTTCGAGCATGTTATTTGTTTATCAGTTGTTTTGCTTGGAAGAACGGAGCAGAATGAGCTGACTTCCTAAGGAAGATTTACAGCTACTAAGACCACAGATTTTATTCCAATTTATCAGTATTAACCACAGTACCAAATGGTTTTGCATTCGCTAATTCAAAAAGCCCACCTGAAAATTTATGTTCTTATTAAGCAAAGGAAGCCACACAGCTTTTAATTGAAAATATATGTGAAAACATATAGGAAGGAATAGTTTAAGCAACTGGAAGAAACAGGAATGTACTGATGTCTTTCAGATGTAAGAAATCAATATACAGATAGTTACAGGCATAAGGACACCGGTGTTCTTTCCCTGTTGTCAAAGCCTGCTCCTTCCTGCACTGTTTTGTTTTAGTAGGTTTGACCTGGGGAAAAGACAACCTTAGTAAAGGAATTACTGATAAAGAAGAGCAGCTGAGGCTTTATTCACAAGTCTAAAAAAATCTCCTGAGCCTTGGACTTAGTTAACAGTTTAATGAAGAAAGCAAAGTTTACTTGGCAATAGAAGTGCACATTCGGCTCTAGTCAAGGTATGAAGAGAAGACACGATAAATGCAGGTGCACTGACAAGGGAGAGGCAGCAACAAAGCTCGCTGTCAGGGAGAGCAGCACGGAGCTTCTACTGGAAAGAATGGAAAAGCAGCCAGGAAAGAGGGTGGAGACCTTCATCTGGCACTCACTGCCGTAGTCTTGCCAAAGGTGGTAGCTTTATTGGTCCCACAGTAGGTGAGACAGCAAGAATATGAAAAGGTTACCAAGCCTCATAAACACAAGCTGATGGCAGACTGTCTCAAAGAGGGAGGAAAACACCATTACTTATCACAGCATATAGGAGCAACAACTTCATTAGGGCAAAGGGTTGTGCTCACTGCCCCTTCTGCAGCGCTTCCGAGCGCCTTCTGTGTTCAGCAGCTGAAGTCTGGCCGGGCCTCGGGCCAGACAGTTCCCATCCCCATCACCTCTGTGAGAATCCGGGCCCCTGTGCATCACAGGTGTCCAGACTGGCACAGTTCCCTCCGAGAAGTCATCAAGTGCACGATGCTCAGCATCCTCTTGATTCCCAGCCACTCGCAAGGCAAAGCTTTGGCATACCCTGCTGCTACCCTGCAGAGCTCATCGGAAGGACACGTGATTTAACCTCTGCCAGCTGTCCCAGTTCTGTACAGTTCTGTTCTCGAACGCCATCTTCCTACGTTTTGTCCTAACGGAGCACGGCACCACATTCTTGTTGCCTCCTAAGCAGCATCCCTACTGATCTCCGTCAAAACATCCATCTAGGTCTTGGTTAGCACTCCCTGTGTCGTTGCTGTTATCTCTCCTGGGGGCAGCGAACTAAACTTGACTTGACAGTGTGTGTCAGCACTGAAATATGAGAATAGCTTCCAGCCTTCAAAACCACCTCCAGGGACAGGATGCAATGTAGAAGGGAGGTGAATGACTGTTAACATACAGATTGCAGCATGATACGACCGCAAAAAGTGCTGCTACTCTGTAATACCACAGAAGGGGAAGTTGATAATGATTCCAGTAGGGAAAAAAAAAAACAAACAACAAAACCAACCACACAGCAGTATATACACATAGACAAATTTCAGATTTAACAGCTTTCCTAAACAATTCTGTCAACACACAGAGTTTAGGATAGTTATTGGAACTGTAACTGCAATCGCGGAGCGCAGGATGAAAGAACAACTGCCTATTGGCCCATTAGCTGAGACAAATGCAAAGCTGGAAAAGCCTCAGATCTCCTAGTCTGAAACATTCCACTTTTTTGCAAGTGCAAGAATAAAAAAAAATTTAAAAAAAAGAAAGAAGAAGATAAGCAAGCAGCAGCTACCAGACATCATCACGTCTGCAATAAAAAAAAAAATCTGGTATGTCAATTCTAACCCAGTTACATCAAAGCAACTACTGTTCTCTACTAGCAGCTGAAATACACTGGCAAATAGTTACCACTCCTTCTCGTTAGTACTGCAAGGAACTGCAGCAATTTGAAGCATTTTTTCCCCCAGAAGATGCACAAAACTTTACATCAAGGTAACACCAATTCACAGCTTTATTTTACCTGCACCACCACCACACAGTGGTGCCCCAGTAGCTACTACTGGAGAACTAACTGGCCCTGTAGTTTAAGCCTAATGGCTCATATTTAATCCAGAATTTTGATGGTGCTCTGGTTTGACCAACAAACTTCAGATTGTCTATGGCTTTGTTAATCTTCAGGACTCCTTCCATCAGCTGAAAGTTTTAATGGATTCTTCAGTAAAATCTGAGAAAGCAGATCAGAGAGCTTGTTCTATCTCAAAGGCTAGAACAGCCGGACAGGAAGGGATGACAGAAGTGGCTTTGAGGTATCAAAGTGTGGAGAACATTTTCGGGGTATGTAAAGACAATTCCATTGCCAGTTTTCACTCAAACATCTCTTTAGCAAATACTGAGACAATTTAGCTTCAGGATAGGATGGTTATTCCACTGGCGTGATACAGCCTGAGGTTTGGGGTTGGTTTTTTTAAGCCAAGCAATACAAGTGAGCATAATTGATTGTTCCCATCTTCACTAGGACAGATTATGAAGAAAAAAAGATACGAAGTGTACAGACTGTAATCGTTTATGCCTCCACTCAAGAGCTGACAGGGTTGAAGCAAGCCTGAACGGCGGTCTTGTCCAAGTAACAGGAACGGGTAGCCAGTCTCCACAGATGCAACCAAGCTAGGAACGAATGCGGGGCCTGCCATCACAACTTCAGGTGAGCTGCTAAATCCAGGTAATCACCATTTAACGTTAACTCCTAAACCCAGTGACTGTTACGGCAAAGCAAACCACGCAACAGACAGCCAAGACGATCACTGCAGAGAACGTGTGTGTGCGCTTCTCTCTGGTCACAACCGCCCGAGTTTAGCAGCTTGGCTGAACTGCATCTGCGATAGCAACACCTAACGCAGCCTGGATCTACCGGACCAACTGCCTGCTCCCGCAATTTGGAGAAGAGTGCTACTCAAGGTCACTTCAGCTCCTGAGAGACTATGAAAGCAGATACTCCTCACGCAAATAATGCTGCCACCGCACATAAAATTCTTTCAAATATTCCAAGGGAGCTGTAGCATATTTCAGCTAACAGACAATGCCCTGTTATCCCGAGATTATTTGTTTATCTACCCTTTGTGGCCTTATCCAAGAAGATTTGGGAAAATTACATGAAATGTATTATATTGTGAATGGAACATACTAAACTAGGTAGCAGTCGCTTTCTCATCATTGCCTCTTCAAAAACACACCAAGACAACCAAAGCCTTTGTCACAGGTCTTTATATTATGGTAAGGGAATAGGGGGAAAAAAACAACCAACCAACCAAAAAAAAAAAAAAAAAAAAAAGAACTGAATAATTCAATTCACAGTGAAAGGAACTACTACAGCTTCAGCTGATTGTGCTTCTTAGCTCATGAAATTCTCATGTATTTTTCAAAAGCAACTTCTTTTTAGGAGGAGTTGCGGAAACATCCTGCCAGTGCACCACAAAAAAAGATAATAAGCAAATTGATCCCAGCTTCATTACCTGACCTGCTAGGAAGCTAGTTACAACTTAGCAAGGAAAGCTGCTTTTTTCCCTGTAAGAGAAATACATTTTGCTTACAATAATTAGCAAAACCCAAAGATTCTTCTGTTCACTCTTCAAATAGATCAATGCATCTTTAAAGAAGCAATCTCTAAGAGTCTTACCTCAGCTGTGGAAACAAAGGAGTCCGTTGATGCAATGCTTAATGTATCTCGAAGGCAGAAATCATCCGTATTATCCTTTACAGTAACGTCTGTACTTTTATCTTTAAAATAGAAAAAAACCAAACAACTGATTATTAGAGTACCAGAAAGTTCCATTTAAGTCTTGAAAGGGTGTTTCGTGTATACTTTGCTGCAGCACTGCATTTGGAAGGCACAACATTGTACTGCTGCGACAGCCAATTCTCCTACGGCCCGCTAACATACATAAAGGTGACTGTATATCTCTGTCTTCAGAGTGGACTTACAAATCTCATCTGCAATGAACAGAGAGACCAAAATAACATTTCCCCAGGGGTTTTGTCTTTTCTTTGATAGACCTCTGAAGCTCACTCTCTCTAAAGATACTACTTTGCTACATCGATCTAAACGCTCTGTTAGGTTTCTAACGTGGCTGTGCTCTTGTATAACAAGTGCTCTGTTTCAGTAACTAAGAAACACTGTTCTAAATAAGAGTCCATTAATAAAAAACAGGTTTCAGTTTCACTTGAATTAATTCCATTTTCTACTTCTCATGCCTTTTTCACTTGCTGGTTCTTCAGGAGAGCGAGTGAAGCTTTTAATCCTCACTGGATCCTCTTTCCCCAAAACGTTTTTCCACTGAAATAACACATCCAGAAGCATTTCCTATAGTACTAAAATACAGCCTTTAAAATAACTGGTATTTTTTGCTTAAGATCACCTGCAATACAGTTTCTCTCAGTTTTCCTCTATTTCACTCTCAGGTTTCAACTGTGACCCACATAACTAGCATAGATGGTGTTGTTTTCACCATACAGAAACACTTTCACAGAAGGATTAAACCCAAAAGTCAGTCAGTCAGGCTTTGGCTTGGTGCGTCCCATACTACATATCAGCAGAGCACTGGCATTTATTTTGGGTTACTTCACCTTCAGACATTACACACGTGTTGCTAAAACTCTGTTTTATTTCCAACAGTCAGGAGCAACCAGCTACCCCATGTCTTCCAGCTCTGTTGCTATGGCAATACTTCATAAAAACACTATTACCCAGCAAAGTGGCCCAACGCCAATACAGCGGAACAGTTTACTCATCAATTGAAGTGCTACAAATCCACATAACTTAACCATTATTTCGGTGGTTGTTATGGTTTTATTAGTTACAGACTTGGAACCACAGCTCAAAAATTGCATGTAACAATAAATATGTCTTTGAGACTATTCACTGAGGGAAAAAGTTATCGAAAGTTCAGATAAAGATTTTACTAGATTGAGTTAGGCGGATTCCTACTTGTAATCACAACCTTACCAATATTCATATGGTTCCTATAAGTTTTTCAGATCATTCTTAGTTTGTTCTTTCTTTTGACCTCAGAAAACCAAGAGGAAAAGTACAGCAGCATCCAAGCTGGTTGAGAAACCACCACCTACTGGAATCTGCAGAGCTGGAACAGAAAACCAAACTGTGGTTTGTAAAGCATTTGCTTGAGCTCTGATAAGAGGAGATGGGTAACATGATGTTTCCTTCTTATTTCTGGCTCACAATTTGCATTAATCCCCTTCTAGTATTACATTAAGTGCTTTTCTAGTACCACTCCTTCACAGAAGCAGTTGCTGAAACTGCAGTACTACTGTTAGACACAGGGTAGTACAGGGAGGCACAGCCTGGTTGCAGGTCTTTCCACTGAAGCTCCCCTTTTGGCTATGTTGTTTTCCGTAAGAAATCTGCAATTAAAACAAAAGTTCCTACATCTCACAGTTAGAAATGCTCTCCAGCACCTGGTTCAAGCACAATCCAAAGAAATTATTTTCCTGACCCTCCCAGTCTGTGGGCAACACGCAACACCCACTCGGTGAGGTGTGACCAGCTCTGTTCACCAGCAGCAACGCAAGCCCCCAGCTCCCACAAGGGTAAGCACGGGCCATGCCGACACAGGTCTTAGGGACGGCTTCAGGAAGATGTTCAGGTGAGGACCCAGCTCTGGCGTACAGGCGGCGCAGCTGCCGACAGTCTTGTGTGTCAGCCTGCCCGCAGCCCGACAACGCTCCACCACCCCCCAGGGAAGTCCCCGCTGCACCGCGGACTGACGACTCGAACCCTCTGGATACTGCCTGACAACTCCTGCACTGTTACCTGCGGGTGTATAGCGCAGTCACAACACCCAGCCCCAAACTGCCACGGAAGGATTTAACACTGGGCTATGTGACTGGCTACATATAAATGGGAATAATGGTATTTAACTGAAATTTAGCCTGCATATAAGCAAAATAATTGGTGTAAATGAAGGAACCACAGAATTTCCAGCCTAGAATACCACAGGATGAGGAGTTCTTCCGTAGGGTTTGCAACCAGCCTGCTACAGACTACATGAAGCTCTAGTGATAATAAGATTTTGAATACATCTATGTTTGCTGAAGAAGTCATAATTCCAAGTTTTCTATTATGGGTATAAAACTGTCACCTAGGCAGTTTGTTTCTAACATGTCAGTTGAATATGGAATATGTGTTTTCACTGATACACTGTGAAAATTCTCATGGCTACAAAAAAAGGCACAAAATTTGCATTTTATCACCAAAAAAATTTGATTAAAAAAAGGTTGGTAATGCCGAGTGAAATAGTACCCTTGCCAAGTGGTACGTGCATACAAAGCACAGCCTCCCCAGAGAACCCAGAACAGCCTTGTCAGCACTTTCTGGCCATCCCCCCCAATACCCTGAAATACCCTTAGCCAAGCAGGTGCTCACCAACACCCACGCTGCGCAGGGAGCACGCTACTACGGAAACATCCGGGTGAAAACTAAGCTACAGCTGAAGCACATACCGTGCAAGCACCAGGAGAACATTCTCAGACACAAGAACACGAGAGAAGAGAGCCGCAGCACAACGCAGCTCCTGGAATGAGCAGCTGCAGGAGGAGCCCAACGCTGGTGACTGCCGCCGCCCTGGGGAAGGACCAGCACCAGCCGGCGAGCCCCACGGGCCCTGGGGAAGGACCAGCACCAGCCGGCGAGCCCCACGTACACGGCGCTCCTTTGAGAGGCCAGGAGCTCTCCCGGGTTCGCCGACATCTGTAGAGAGGACGAAGCCGCGGTTCAGAGGCGATACTGACGGCAGTGACTGCCATCGAGGCTCTTGGCTGCAGCGCCTTAAAGCATGTATGTGGTTCTAAAGTCAGATCAGGGATATTAAAAAAAAATGGAAAAATACGGGGTATTGCTAAAGCTGGGGAAGTTAATCCTAGCTCTGTAAGATTTTGCAAACAACTCTCCAATTGAAACTGAGCAAACTAAACCCACCCAAACGAGAACAAAGCGACTGTCACGTCTGTTCACAGAGTACTCACCGACACCACCTATTTGTCTTCACTCTGGCAGGTTCCTGCGGTAAGACAGGCCACAAAACCAACCTCTGAACCCTCCGAGCAAAACCTGGCCGTAGAGGTGGAATGGCACACAACTTTCAGCATTCAGCTGGGAAGTATTCACCTTCACACAAGGTTTTAGAATTCTGAAAACTGTTTATACGTCATCTTTCCTCCAACCCTGAATGAAAGACGGCATGAGTTCCCGAGTGAGGCCGGCACTTGGGTGCAGCAGTCAAAAAGGGAAAGCACTCACCCACCGGTGAGGAACTCACTGGGAGCCAAGGCATTTAGTTCCGAGTGCCACCGCTGCAGCACAGCCTCCTGTCCTCCCCAGCCCTCCCACTTCAGTGGGACGTCCGTGCAGGGACTCGCCACGAGCGCGAAAGCGAGCGGAGAGACTCGACAGGCTGCGAAGAGGAGAATCTGCCTGTGAAAGGGCAGGGCAGCCCCAGCGCTGGGGGCCCCAGCGCCTGCCAGCGCTGCGCAGGACGGGTCGGGCCCTCCGCTGCGGGCCCTGCGCCCCAGCGCAGCCATCGAGGCCGGGGAGCGCAGGCACACGAATTACTACACAGTCCAGGTTCAGGAGGACGCGACACAGTCTTCTAGCTCGTCACAGGCGGCACAGCGGTGTGTCACCACTGTCGCCGAAGCGTCCAAAAGCAGCTTTATTTACTCTGAGAGCGCTGACTGAACCTTCATTAAGAAATCATCAGTCCTACCAAGCAGCTACTTGTGTCTCACCTGCAGTCTCACCGCACGCACCCAGAAAGCGGCGAGTTTTTATGTCGTATTTATAAAAGAAAACTATCCCAACCTTCAGACGGCACCTGCTGACGACTGGGCCGTGCAGCTGCTGGTTAAAACAGGCGAGCCAAGAATGGCGCAGGGCGTGCACACCAAGGCCTGCCGCTGCACCGCTCTCACACAGGTAGGGAGGGGCCCATCCTCCAACACACCGCACGCTCACCTCATCATCCTTATGCAAAACACGAGGTGTTCTTCATTCACGCCGTGTTCTGTATTCATTACTTCGATGTTTCTCTTAAGACAAACAGAGTCCAGCTGATTAAAAGCTGAATTAAAAGCATCCGTAGAGATAAGAGTAATGGATTCTTCATGCTTAAATATAAATTAGTAGGGAACGCACATAAAAATCGAACAGCACAATCCATTAAGTTTACACACATAAGCAATAAAATCCACCTGAGATGTACTGATTTGCAACATTTGTCATCTGGAAAAAGATGCAACTTGCCTAAAATAACCTTATAATCGTCAAGAGACTTTCCACATACTTTGGAAAGAAATAATAGCAATTTTTGCGATGTTTGTAATAATTTGGTTATTGTCAAACCTTTAAGATACTTGACTTTGTCCATGAAGTTATATTATCTGCTGAGCACCACGTGTAAGTGATGCATAAAATAATATAGATAGATAATAAAAATATAAAGTAATAACGACGTATAAAACAAACAACACAGCTACTGCTCTTAGAACAGTAAAATCAAGCACCTGGAATGCTCTCCTCTAGCAAAGGTAAGGACAGCACAGACTGCACGTGCAGAAGTAATTGTTTTAGTGTTTCAAAGTAAAAATCAAATATACCTAAGAAAGGAATTTAAATATAATTTATTTCCTGTAATCCATAGACACAGGTACATTAAATAACTCAAGAGGACTATGAAATATTATATAGCTTTGACATTCTGGAATGG